AAATAAGTCAAGTAAAGGGTAAAACTGAAAATTATTTATGAAATGAGTATTTCTATTGATTTTTGTGATCAAGAATTATAATTCCCTACCGTTAGGGATAACAGTGACTACATGAAAAGCCAGCAGAAGTTTGTTTTAATGATTACTACTATTTTCAAAGTTGGAATCAGGAACTGATTTTAGTGGGGTCACCACTTTAAACGTGGGAGCACTGGAAGACCGTTTCGTCATCATACGTGGATCTTCGATGGTTTACATTTATAACCCCACATGCTGGAATCAAACCCAGGACATTCGATCTCAACAAGTCCTCTATACTAGTATCACTAGTACTAATAACAATAATAACCGTGTGCTCACTAGTGACCAGCTTCAAGATGGGATCCGTGGAGTCCAATCCATGTCGAGTATGAAATAGTCAATAAATGAAGGCATTGGATGAATATGCCCACTCCGTGGTATAGACGTGCGGCGACCAGGCACGGGATCGAATGTCCTGGTTAAAGTTCCCAGTATGGAGTCATGGATGTGAGTTGCCGAGGTATCTCGTACCAGGACGAAACGGCATTTCAGAACTCCTAGGCTTTTAATAGTGGTATTGTTAGGATCAATTAGTGAATTCCTGAATGAGAACAATAAAAATTCCACAAACCCTCTATGCTAATTATAGTTATTATGATCACAAGCGATTATTGATTTGATGTGTAATGATCTGTAGTGATGGATAAATCCCAGAAATAAATAGTTCTGTAAGTCTTCAACATTGATGCTGACCTCATTAGCTTGTAGTGACCAGCCAGTCTCGATAAGAACACGATTGAAATAACGGAAACAATTATTATTATTGTAACCGATTGTACCAGAGATTGTTTTACTGTATTTGTTTAACTGTATCAGTTTCACTTCTGCTTTCGCTCTCCGCCTTGTTTGGTTCGAACTTGCTCACGCACTGCCTGTTCGCCTGTACTCTTTGGCACGTCTCGGTATTATTTCGATACCACAAGATCGCCAATAAATACAATTGATCTGGATTAATAAAGTCTTCTGATTTACGAGCTATCAAAGGAACCAAGTCGTTTTTGGGCGCGTAAACGAATTGTAGTGGTGATCATAGTCCGTCTTCGACTCGACATCCACTACAAGCTTCACTAAATACACCATAGTTGAAGGCGCTCGTTCATGTATTCATACCAGATCACGATTGAGTACGCCATGCTACGCATCCCTTGCAATTGTTAGCCGGCATAGATCAAACACTTCTCAAAATATATTAATTGATTTCGAAATATATCTTTGAACTCCTTCATTTATGACTTCTGATTTTACTGAGTTGGCATACTTTGATTACAAAAGTGTTACGTGTTAAGGCGTTCTCAAACTTCGAATAGTTGTAGTATCTTTACATCTATGTTTTCTAGTTGCTGAGATCAGTTTATACTGGAATATGTTGATCCACGGCAAATTTACTTTTATTGAAAATACATTATTATGATTAGCTGTGAAATTCAGAATTTCAGTCATCTTATTTAGGAATTTTCACTTTAATTTACCTGCATACAAGTGTTGATTGTTACACCACCCCCCGAACACAGTACTAATGGCTTCAAATATCAAAGTCTTATCGAATGATCTACTGAGTTCACTAACTTGTTTGATAGACATGGTAATTTACTGCCTGTAGTGTGGTGTGCTCTCATTATACTGACAGACATAAGTAGTATGTAGAAGGAATTGTAAGATACCTACCACCAACCCATCAAAACGTAGCCGAGAAATTAAAGGCTGATTATAGTGACTGGTCAGTTATGAGTCAAAGTAAGGAAAGTAGAAGCTCAGAAACTAAAGCTCGTTTTTAGCATGACAATGTGTTGATGAAACAGCTACTAAATCAGCTAATGCCTCAGGATATCTCCGAGTCACCTCGCTAAAGGGGAACAGACTAGGTAGCCAAATGAACTTGCGACAGAATCAAAGCCTAAATTAGTATTTAAAACTCCCAATGCACTTAACTTCATACTACAGAATCGACATGAACTAAATGGGTCAGAGGTTTTCGTTCGTAAATACCTGCAGCTCGCAGACCGTATATAAAGACGAGAAGCCGAAAAGGACTACAAATTAAGGTTAGATGCTGACGTAAAGAGCTTAAAAATTGTTAATTTTCAGGTTGTGAGGCCTCGACAGAAATTAATGTCGGGACCTCTCTGGATGCAGCACGAAGCCATTTAAGTAGGCTTCGTAACTATAACACAAATGATCGGAGTTTGCTCAATAAGCGATCGGAACCAGCTGTACAGATCGAATCTGCCAGGCTAGATATAATCGCAGTCACGAACGCTTGGCTGACACAGCCTATAGACAGTATAGAACTTGATTTTGAGGTGTCATGTTAGTAAGAGCCGACAGAATCCAGAAGTGTAAAAAAGGAGGAGTAGCTCTATTCATTAGGAATGCTATCCCATTTACCACTATCGACAGTGTATCTTATGAGAGTGAGACGTGCGAATTAGTTAGTTCCCACTTGAAATGAAGGAAACAAGAGCTGCTGATTTGTTTGGCCTAACGCAGTACAAGCTGTGTGGTAAATCAGGTCTTGCTAGACGGTCTCAATACGTGATCATAAAGCTGTCGATGTCTAATCCTAGGGGACATTAATGCGCCTACGGTGGACCGGAAATATCTGAGAACTGAATCACCAGAAAATTATTTCGAGTAGAAACTAGTTGATTCAGATATCACATGTGCTATAGTGCAACATGTGGAAGAAGCGACTAGGTACGACGCGGACTCTGAACTTACCTTACTAGATCTTATATTGACTCATTATGAGTATGAAGTCACGAACTGTGATCACATGTCACCTCTAATGAAAAGTGCTCATTCAGTTTTAATATTTAACTTCCATATGGTTGTCAAAAACGAGCGTGAATCAGCCCAACGCAGACCTAACGCTTGGAAAGCAAATATACAAGATATTATACATTCAGCATCGTCAGTAGATTGGACAATAGATCCAGAGTTCACAATCGAAACAACTTGAGATGTATTTCGAAATTTGTACTTAAAAGTTACTGCATGCCATATCCCTTGGACTACAGAAAGGGGTCCGAGGTACGTTACACCATGGTTCAGTCGGAAGGTTCACACACTTCCCCGTAAAAGGAGAAGTATCTGGAAAATATTTAGGTTACTCGGTATTGATGAGACAAAATCTCAATATCAAGAAGCTCGACCCTCCGTAAGTCCAGAATCTATAGAATCTCCAAAACGCTCGTATTCGTACACAAATTAAAAGACTAAGAAAAGAGCAAGCATTACAGCATTGTGGGGAGACGGTAATGCCTAATCATCGGTGGAGGGCGACTATTGTAAAGTTCAAGTATTATCAAACTACTTTAGCAATGTACATACTATAGAGACACCCTTCCCGTCAGTTCAAACTTATCCAACCACACACACTGGACAATGTGATCCTTAAAGAACTCGATGTCTTTAGCCCGCTAAATAAGCTTGATCTAAGCGAATCCACGGGACCCAATGGAATGCATCCGAGGTTATTAAGGGAACTAGCTAATCTTGTTGCGGAACCCTTAAGTATATGTTTTTATCTATCTGTATCCCAGGGTCGATTAACAAAAGACTGGAAGAACGCCATAGTAAGTCCAGTCTTCAAGACAGGTATGAAATATAAACCTCAGAACTACCGACCGCTTAGCCTAACCAGCGTGTTTATTAAAATTTCAGAAAACATTATTCGGAAGGAGCTTTTTACATATATCGATGGAAACCAGATTCTTTCCGAAAAGCAGCATGGTTTTTGAATGGGTTTTTCCTGTCTCACTAACTATTTGGTGGTTCGTGAAAGTTGGTATTCTCTTAAAGATTAAAAGTTGCTTATAGATGTAAACTACGTTGACTTCAGCAACACTTTCAACAAATTTCCTTACAACTGACTGTTACATAAGTTAAAAAATGTTGAGGTTGGAGACAACCTATTATTATGGACAGAAGACTTCCTAGTTAAGCGCCAAGAAAGAGTGCGGGTGAACTCTGAATTGCTCAGCCGGGAACTTGTGCTTAGTAGAGCTCATCATGGTACAGTTTTGGGGCCAGTATTTTGCCTCTCGTATGTAAATCACCTGATTAGTCTCCTATCATCAACGGTCTTGCTATATGCCGACGATATCAAGATATGGAGAGCAACAAAACAGTAAAGGTGTTTGTTTAGAGCTTCAAAATGAAGTGGAGAGATCATTTGAATGTTCTCAAACTTGGAACTCTCCGATAAACACATCCAAGCGCATTGAGATGCATATTGGTCATCAAGGTATATATACATACAAGGTGAATAACAGTGAGTTACTCGTTGTTCAGACACACAATGATTTGGATGATCGTTAGCCAAGACCTAAAAACTACTGCATACTGCCGTGCGATGGCCACCGAGTGTTTCAGAACCCTATGGCCAATACGTAGGGAATTTAGCTGTGTTCATGCTGAAACCTTTTGACTCTGCATACGAAATGCGTTCGTCTTAAATTCATCCTAAATGCTTACAGCTAGGTTCTACCGAAAAGACACGGCGAACCGTTTAAAAAGGTTCAAAGAACATCAACTAAACCGATTCCCAAAATAGCGAAACACCAGTATGATCCTCGACTGGCTGAACTAAACCTATTTCCATTGTCATATAAAACAACCAGAGACCAATTGATCACAGTTTTCAAATTATCTAGTGATCAATTTGCATCTGATACGCCCTCACTTTTGTTTCTTTCCAAAACGGAGCATTTAAGAGGACACTAAAAACGTTCGCAATCCTAGAACAAATTATTTGTCAGGTGACTATAGACTTTCTCATCAAGTCACCGAGGAATGGAATTCATTATCTCAACACGTGATTGAAGTCCCATCTGTCGACACAAAATAAATTTGATACAACTGAGAGACAACCACTGATGGGACTAACATAGGTCACATAGCCTCCCTCCTTTTCCAAACAGAAACAGAAACTGAACGAATGTCTACCAAACCTACTAGAACTAGTGCAGTTGAATAGCTGGACTACCACTCATCGGACATTAAGGAATACCTAGAACCGTACCGGAACAATGAAAATCTAATGCGACGAAACCGGTTGGCTTATACAACTTCGTGACAAATATATTGGAGATAGGAATACGTCAGATACTGCAGCCTTATTTGATCTCAAGGTCGCGGGATGACCGCAGTCAAACACGTGATACTATATTTTTTATTCTCTGTTGTCTCATTAGGACTCTCGAGTGACCTAAAATCCGTCACTCTAAATGATATTTTAAACATTGATCTTTCCGAATATACAGAAGGGTCAAATGCTGCACTTTTATTCATAAGTAATACAGGCTGTTAATTCGATAACATTCTTCATCCAGTTCCTGAAAACTGTCATAACTGCCATATGCACAGAAAACTCCTTAATGACATTTCCTCCGATATTCTATACAGTGGTATGTTGGTTAAAGTTCCTAACTTCAAAAATCCTTCATGTTGTAAGGTGATATTTTTCATCTCAACGATATGACTGTCCCTTGGGTTAATATGCTTTCCGCTCCAGCTATACTGTTTTTAAACAATGAGAGGAAAATCCCCTATTCTGGTAAGTTAGTTTGTGTACATTTGAGGACTCGGGAGTTCTTAACTCGTCAATTGCGTGATATTTATCTGCGTCAAATATATGTGCTATCGTTTTTAACTCAAACACAGTCTCAACGATTTCAGTTGTCATCATTTGTTACAAGCCCATATTTGAGTACTGAAATAAAAATTTATCCACGTTACTGGGTTCATGTCATTCGATTTAGCAGTTTAATTATTTTTTCCGTTGATCTTACCGTCGACCTATCAATCTAATTAACTTTATGTTGCTTAAAAAATTTTCCGACTTAAATACATCTCTGATTAAAAAAATTTGATGAAAAGTTGGTTTTCTAAACTTGACCGAGTAATATCTGTCAAGACAAGTCACAAAATCCTCAGACTCGCTAATGTTAACATCGGTAATCGTAAAATCTTCAAACTGCTGTAGAACACATTTTGAGAAACCTAAAAATGATGCACACTTAAATTTTCCTGCCTTCTGTCGAGTTAATGACAGTTGGTCTCTACTTTTTACGTTACTGACTGACTGAGTTGATGTTTATTCATTTCAAACATATGAAAGCACTGTACTCAGTTTCCACATCATCCCATTTATTTATTTATTTGAATACAAATATTGATACAAAGGGGCACAGAATACATATGCGCCATACAAGTCACTTGATTTGTATGTGGGATGTGATACTGCTCGAGTTCCCAGACCGAAGCAAGTGGTTTTCTTAGGGGGCCACACTCGCAACCTTCGACCTAAAAGACTGATCCATAAGGTAGTACTATGATAGCTGACGACCAACGATTGTTTGATATGCCATTCGCTCCCTCGGGATTGTAGAGCCCATGTGCACCATTGGTTTGGAATCAGGGTTTCTCAATTCCCGTAGGTGGATCCCCAATATCCACTAGCCTGGTTAGAGCGCCGGATATCGCTTTTCGTCGTCTTGATTTCGCATACAACACCCCCGTCACGGAAGACAGTGAGTAGGTTTTCCTTGGCAATGGTTATATACGCGTGGCCGTGTGAGAGCATTTGGGGAGGGAGAGCCGACTCTTCTCGCACTCGACCGTACCAGGGCATTTTGGGGTATCATCATGCTAATATGCTTCTCTGATTTTTTAATTAAGCCCAACTTGGATTTTGTGCGGAATTTTCCGTAACGATATGAATATATATGTCAAAAATATATGCTTTACCCCGAGTTTATTTGCTACGGATTAATCATCATGTTCACCGATAAAAACTTAATTTTTACCCTTTTAAAGGTCTACTTCATCGCACTCATCTTATTACCGCTATGCATCAGTTTACTACAGGAGTGCAGTCAGCTCGATTAGATGATGCTAATTTTGAACACGATACTCAAGCCTCTACTGGTTCAACAACAGGCAACTGGCTTGTTATTTTGTAAGTTTCTTGGTGTTTTTTTATTTAATCATTTGAGATTTATGTTTCGATAGAATAATGTGCGGTTTTATTGGTCAGTTAGTCCCAAACAAGATAGAACTTTCCCAAATGTGCATCGACCCATGATGCCATACTACGTATCATCAGCATAACTAAAGGAAAAGAGAAGGATCAGAATAATAGTAGTACCTTTGATAATATCAAAAATCAAACATGGAAAATGTACTTTAATGATAAATAATCGGATCAAGGAGTAGCATAATGGCAAAATTCAAAAGCTATAGAGGATGAATGCATCTGTTTCGCTCAAATAGCTTTCGGGCCATGTTATTTGAAATAATCTACCACTGACTACTATTATTCCGCCCACCACACTTTGAAGTCTCGTGAAGTTGATGAAACACTCAACTACTCCACTTCCTATAAATAAAATAAACCTTGATACAAACCCATCTTGAAGCAAAATTTCCCATTTAGAGACACAGAGAAACACATACCATACATTATGACGTTATTCAAAGTCTGTGTTGTCATCTTCAACAACTGAGGCCATTTCATTAGCTCTCTCTAAATCAATCCGAAAGTCTTTGGGTAGGACATCAATTCTTGTGAAAATATCCCATTCATATTAGATGGAAAGGTACCATGTTCACTTTCATTTTTGTTACATATTCTGTTTAATAAGCCACAAAAAACACATTCTCATGTGTACACTCCATGTCTTATTGAACAAAGGGCTAATGAAGTTCATTTTAAATGGAATGGGTTTAACTCCTATCCTAGTATGGAGTCTTGTGTTGCATTGTCACTAAAGTTCATTTATTTATTTGAACACATAAATATTGGTACAAGGGGGCACCAGATATATATGCGCCACATAAAAATTGTCACATTTAATTGTGTGAGGGCTATGATACTGCCAGGGTGACCAGGGCCCCCAAATGCCCTGGTTCGGCCGAGAGTGGGGAGAGTCACCTCTCCCTCTCGAAATACTCTCATATGGCCAGCGAATATATAGCCTCTGCCAGGGAAGTCCTACTCACTGCATTCTCGTGGCACTACTGTTGTTTACGAAAGTGAGAGGACGAAAAGCGAATGTCCGGCGCTTTAACCGGGTTGGTGGGCATGGAAAGTCCATCCAGGGGAGTTGGAAAACCCTGATTCCAAACCAATGGTGCACATGGGCTCCAGTATCCTGATGGAACGAATGGCGGACGAACCTGTCATTGGTCAACGGCTACCATGGGACTGCATCTCCTCACGATGCTCCACTGCCTTGTGGATCAGACATTCAGGTCAAAGGCTCTGGGTGTGGCCCCCTAAAAAAACCACCTGCTTCGGTCTGGGCACCTGGACAGTATCACAGCCCTCACACAAATCGAATGAGATTTGTGAGGCGCATATTTATCTGGTGCTTCATTGTACCAATATTTATGTGTTTAAATAAATAATAAATAAATAAATAACCGAAACAGATGGTTTTCTTAGGGGGCCGCGCCCCGATCGTTTGACCTAAAGGTCTGACCCGCAAGGCAGTAGAGCATCGTAAGGAGATGCAGTCCCATGGTAGCCGGTGACCAACGATTGGTTCATACGCCATTTGTGCCCTCAGAATACTGGAGCCCATGTGCACCATTGGTTTGGAATCAGAGTTTTCCAACTCCCCTGGATGGACTTTTCATGTCCACCAACCCAGTTAAAGTGCCGGACATTCGCTTTTCGTCCTCTCAATTTCGTTAACAACACACGTGGTACGAGAAGGCAGTGAGTAGGACTTCTGTGGCAGAGGCTGTATACGCGTGGCCGTGTGAGAGCATTTCGAGAGGGAGAGAGAGGGTGGGCCCTCCCCACTCTCGGCCGTACCAGAGCATTCAAACTTTAGTTTGTGGAGAGTTGCATGAATGGTTAACACTTTAAAATCTGCTATCCATACATACACACAGCCTTTCCGAATATTGGACTGCAACCGAAATTCTTTTATTTCAATGAATGACAATAACATCAAATGATAATCAGTTAGTCTCTTATTTTTCCAAGGAAATCGGTTGAATTTCAGTTCCCTACAAAAACAAAATAAATCAGGATTTTAAAGGTGATAAAGTAAACGAACTCTGACTAATTCAATGATATGATTTTCATTATTTTTTGAGAATATATCGGTGATTTGTTACCTTGTACATAACCTTATCGCTTGACGAATATTTTATGTTTTCAAATAATGATAATAATGGGTACCATATTATAGACTTCATCCTAAAATAAAGTGATTACTTCCTGCTGTAACGAAATAGTTGTTCAGTGCTTTCTGGCTTTCAATGGATGTTGAACTTAGATTGCTCCATGATGTAACGTATATAACTCAATGATTCCCACAGAAACCTCTTCAAATGAGTAATTTCGTTGAAATTGCGTTCCCTGTGCTTTGGCTAATTTAGTCATAAAGCTTTCATTGTCTATCTAGACACAACGTCAAGACCACAAGCAATCTGTTAGTCTCGTGTGAAGAAATCCTCGTAAATTACTTTGGTCTAAAGTTTTATCCTGATTATGCTGCTTAGAGTGACAATGATAGACTCATCGTCAAACTATCTCCAGCCCAGAGAATGCAATATCAACAGAGTCATTCTTTTGAGCTAACTATCTAATGGTAAGTAGTTTAGTAGCTAAAACATGTTTACAGCCTTGATACATTCGGTTTATACAGTTGGGTAGTATCATCACTGAGTGTCAGACACAGTTAAGCTGTTTAACTCTCAGCCAAGTATGGAAGAAAGCTGTACGAGACTGGCATTGTCAGTGCTTCACAACTCCCTTGTTGAAGTCCTAAAAATAGTGCAGCTCAGTGGCCTTAAGACGTTTCCAAACATGACTTAAAATAAAAGTCAGTGGCCGTCATATTATAGTTTTCATTTACTTCATAGGCGTGAAAAACTTCTTTAACTAAAATAATTCTTTTTGGTTGTATTTTCTTAGTCAAATCGCTTCTCCCATTATTATTATTATTATTATTTACTACTCTCATTCACTTATTTTTACTCATTTATTGTTTTTGACCATACTTCCCCCCTTCCCCCATCCTTTCAAAATTTCATTCTCTTATTGTGCGACCCACATTTACTTTGGTGCCCATTTGTATCAATATTTATGTGTTTAAATAAATAAATAACTTAAGCTTGTAATCGGTTACCCAGATATATTAGCTTAAACAAAATTGACCAAATAACAAAGTATAAAACTAAATGAAGTGAAGTATATTTCAAATAATTTGAAAAGGCAAAATTCTTGAGAATTTGTTAGTCAAACTAACTTCGTCCATAGATACTACTTAGGATCTCTATTTTTATTTTATTTTATTTAAGCACATAAATATTGGTACAAAGGGGCACCAGATATATATGCGCCTCACAAATCTCATTTGATTTGTGTGACGGCTGTGATACTGCCCAGGTGCCCAGACTGAAGCAGGTGGTTTTCTTAAGGGGCCACACCCGAGCCTTTGACGTGAAGGTCTAGTCCACAAGGCAGTAGAGCATCGTAAGGAGATGCAGTCCCATGGTAGCCGGTGACCAACGATTGGTTCATACGCCATTTGTGCCCTCAGAATACTGGAGCCCATGTGCACCATTGGTTTGGAATCAGAGTTTTCCAACTCCCCTGGATGGACTTTCCATGCCCACCAACCCGGTTAAAGCGCCAGACATTCGCTTTTCGTCCTCTCAATTTCGTAAACAACAGTAGTGCCACGAGAAGGCAGTGTGTAGGACTTCTGTGGCAGAAGCTATATATTCGCGTGGCCATATGAGAGCATTTGGAGAGGGAGAGGTGACTCTCCCCACTCTCAGCCGTACCAGGGCATTTGGGGGCTCTATCCTTTGTCGTAAACTGAAGGCAATCAGCAGGGTCAATAGGGTTAAATTTTATTCTGCTCCAAGGCCCTAACCATAGTATTTTAGTCAATCTAAATGATAATGCTGGATTGTCATTATCTAAAACTCTAGAAATTGGCTGGTCAGTTCTTAATGTTCTGTTTTATTTATTTGAATACAAGTATTGGTACAAAGGAGCACCGAATACATATGCACCACACAAGTCACTTGATTTGTGTGTGGGCTGTGATACTGCCCGGGTGCATAAACCAAAGCAGGTTATGCTCTATCTATTCAAGTAAGTTTAAACCTCAATATATAGAGTCTGTGGAGTTGTGAGTAATGGTGACTCCTGGAGTTCACATTTTTAGGTGCTCCTTTGAGCCATATTTTTCAATATGCAACTTTGCCTGTTTATGAAAACTATATTGTATTGTTTTTTTTTCTCGCAAATTATTCTGCATAAAGTGATGAGATCACACCAGACACCTTACAGATCTACGATGGATTGTCGTTGACGTAAGTGATAAACATTTACAGTGTTATTAATTATATATATATATATATATATATATATATATATATATATGCACATCTTACACTTTTCATAGACTTTAGCTGTTCAACTATTCAAGCTTAAACTTTGTATCAAAATGACATGTTCAATTTTCCATACTTATATGAAGTCCTCAAATCATCTTTATGAATAGATGGGATGTGGATGGTAGTAGAATTTAGGACAATGGTTTCGTCTTATTTAGGACTCGTCAGTTGGATGTGTCTGTCACATCGCAGGGCTGATGTCCACTCCTGGGATTAAATCTAGTACCTTTCAAATAAAACATTTACGTGTTATCCATTTAGCATTCGAAGTTCAAATATCCACTTACTCGTATAGCGAGCACAAGTTTTAATCGAATTTGTAATGGTTTGGATTATATCTTGGTTGATATTTTAACAGCTATACTCAGCTGGCGAGTTTTAAATGGGATAAAACGCTTGTCCCGTATTCCATCGCCAGCCACATTCCATATGTTTTATATAAACTTGTAACGTAGTGGATAAATTGAGGTAATCCTCACAGGATGCACATATGTCGATTAAAACTTAGATCATTTAGTTTTTTGTTAATAAATAATAGCTCTTAAATGTAAAGATAACTATGACAAAACCTCTTCCCAATTCCTATTTCTTCAATAAACCTTATCATTATTTGATTGGTTGTTCTCATTTTTGGTTTACTAATTCGACCATGTATCCTGAAGTGATGTTTTGTTGTTGTATATAAACAATTGTTTTGCTTGAAGTTTGACATTCTGAATATCAAGCTTTTCCTGAACTCCTTTCCACCATGTTGTGGATTATTGTTCAAGTGTTTCGTATCAGTCATGTTGTCTACCGATTTCACGTACATTCAGTTTGATACTATAAGAATGTCGCAATTTCATCGTAATTAAGCATCATCTTGACTAATCGCCATGAATTTACTATGCTCAATCATAGACCTAACGCGTTCTCCTACTATTTTAGGTGGACAACTAACTGATTCTTCTTAAATCATTTAAACTTCACTATTTATGATTATTACACAATACATTTTTGTAATTGGAATTTTTGAATACATTTCACAATACAACAATGATTAATTACTATTATTACAGTTACACTGCTCGAATTGTTTGGATAAAATAAATCTTGACAAAAGAATCATATGGCGGCTTTCTGTGGAGATTTTAAGTAGTTTTTATATATACTTGAAATCATGAATCAATTAAAGCTAGACCACTGTAGAAATCTCGCGAGGCGGGATCGTGGATGCGCACTGCTGAGGAGTCTCGCAATAGGACGAAACGGTCATCCAGTGCTTCCAGGTTTTCTACGGTGGTCTAGCTTCAATTGACTCATGATTTCAAGTATATATAAAAAGAATCATATATTGATGTACAGGAGATATCGCTTAAGTAAACGTTTTGCTAAACTCTGCGAATCTTCCTTTCTCTCTTTCCGTGTTATATCTGAAGCGTTACGAATTCACTAGTAGCGAACGGAACAAAGACTTGTGACCAGGGACCAGCTAGCTATTCTGACGCGACCCAGACTCAGCTAACTAGAGTAAAAAGTCTAAGTTGGAAGCGGGAAATTATATTCCGTAGCAGCCAGAAGCACAGCAATCAAATAAGGGAAAAAGTCAAGCATATATATACAGCAGCAAATTGTCCTTGGGCATCATTAATAAATAGCACACACTAAGAAACAATGGACCAATAGCGTTTAAGATAGTTTACAAGTGGGAAATATGACGTGAAGGTAAAAAGAGCGCGTTTGACGCGAAAACAGCTAAATTCAAATTCCCAAAATAAAATTACAAAATTAAGCCATTTATCAAGTAAGTTCTGGGGATTTGACATCCCCAACATTCCGATAATAACTTATAAACATTACTCTCATTTCTTTTATATAATGCTTAAAACCATATTTCATGCATTTTTTGTAGTCTACGAGCAAAACACGTAAATATAGGCATTCTTGATCCGAAACAGTCGACGCGTACAGCAAAACGTTTCAATATCAGCATACCATCGGATTCTGCTCAGAATAATCCTCTGATTTCAGCAATCTTGTAAGTAGTTGTTAAAACATTTGACTTGTTTTAAATATATTTCCAACACATTTCATATAATGATTAATTTGTATAGTTTCATAGCTATATTCTTCTTCGAACGTTGAGTTAGCTAACTGAGTAGTTTGTCTCTAGGAGGCAAATCAAAATGTTATAGCTCGAGACCGAATACACTGAATCCCACATGATTTGTACGTTAAGTTGCATAATTTCCCATTCTAAATTCGCATTATCATGAGTAGTCACTTTGTACTATATATATATATATATATATATATATATCTTTCTGAATATATATATATATATATCAAATATCGTAGGCCATCGTAAAAAATAGAGACTAAGTCTGCGAATCAGGACCAGCTTTGATTCAGTCGGCCATCCTAAGAGACATTTGCCTCGGTTTAGTTAGACTACTGAAAGGTTTTTAAGTAGGCAAATTGTATTAGTTACCTAGATAAGAAATTACGACGAGACTATAATTTATGGACAAACCAATCAGATTTCGGATGCTTTCAGTCAATGTTTTCTGTTTAAGAATTACTGGCTCAGAAGTTCTAATATTTAAATATTCATCGCTAAACCTGAAGATCTGGTATTTTATTTCTGACGACTTCGTGTGTGCACCCTGTTGAGGAGTTCAATACTAGGATGGAGCAGTGCTCAAATGTTCGTTGGTCAGGGTGTTCAACCACCAAGTTTTATATTCGTAATCCACCTACATTTACTTATTAATCAGTATCTGTAATTTGAAGAGATTAGTAGTCCACTTAAAACCGGCGAACGAAACGAAGGATCAGTGACACATTGACAAGACAGCCAAACTATTATAATGCGTTCCAACCCCTTTAACTAGAGGGAGAAGTCCATGTTCAGATGAAGGAAAGTATATTCCACAAGCAGCCAGAAGTACGAACAACAACAAGTACGTAACTCAAGCGTATAAATACAGCATAAAAATGTCCTTAAGAAACGTCGCAAAATAGCATATTAAAAAAAAGGAACAAACCAATGATATTTAAGGTCCTACCAAGTGTGAAATACAATATAAAGGTGGAAATGGGCGCTTCTGGAGCGAAAATGGGAAATTCAAATTTCCAAAATGAAATTACAAAAATAAGACGTGTATTAAGTGATATATAAGGATATGGCATCCCTAACAGTATCATTCACATTCGCTTCTTATATCAATACACGTGTTTTTAATCTATCTATTTTACTCACTAGTTTTTGGAATCAGTGAACAGACTATTATAGTGTATGCATGCAGTCTTTTTCGTTCTCATAAACACACTTCTGAACTCTGTCACTACATTTCTCATAAAACCAAAGGTAAATATTCCCATCTTTCTTCATTATATATATATGGCCCCCAAAGGCCCTGGTACGGCCGAGACTGGGGAGAGTCGGCTCCTTCTCTCGAAATGCTCTCACATGGCCACACGTATATAGCCTATGCCACAGAAGTCCTACTCACTGCCTTCTCGTGGCGGGGGTGTTTTTTTACGAAATTGGGAAGACGAAAATAAAATATCCGGAGCTTTAACCGGGTTGATGGACACGGAAAGTCCATCTAGGAGAGTTGGAAAACCCTCACTCCAAACCAATGTTGCACATGGGCTAGCTCCAGTATCCTGAGAGAACAAATGACGTATGAATCAATCGTCTGTCACCGGTTGCCATGGGACTGCATCTACTCACGATGCTCCACTGCCTTGTGGATCAGACCTTTGATTCAAAGGCTCTTGAAGAAAACTAACTGTTTCGGTTTGGGCACCTGGGCAGTATCACAGACATCACATAAATCAAATGAAATTTGTGTTACGCATATATAACTGGTGCCTCCTTGTACCAATATATATGTGTTTAAATAAATAAATCATTTTATATGAAGTATCTCGTAATTCCCGCTTAAAACTGGAATCTTCTCTGATTTTCAGTTTACCATACTTCATAATTTTCTAATGTTTGTGTGTAAGTCTTTCTGTATATACGGATGCACGTATATAACCAATTAGCTTGTTAGTGTGTGCTTTATCGAATTTAATCTCCATGCTCTTTGTATTCTACTTGTGTATTAATGCTAAATAACCGCTATTCATTGTTTTTCCTTCGTAATCACATTATAATAACAAATAGTGTACATCGTACTAGGTTAATGTGTTTACTACTACTACTAAGATAAATGTCACTTTCAAAATTGAATCATTTTTTATTTAAATTAGATCAATTTGTTTAAACAGAATAAAATATGTTTGCGAATTAAATCGTTCGATAGAATTGTGTTCAGCTAAATATTCAAGACATTCATTGTATTTTAAAACAATAGATACAACATACCCAAATGCCCTGGTACGGCCGAGAGTGGGGAGAGTCGGCTCCTTCTCTCGAAATGCTCTCACATGGCCACACGTATATAGCCTATGCCACAGAAGTCCTACTCACTGCATTCTCGTGGCGGGGGTGTTTTTTACAAAATTGGGAGGACGAAAATAAAATATCCGGAGCTTTAACCGGGTTGGTGGACATGGGAAGTCCACCTAGGAGAGTTGGAAAACCCTGATTCCAAACCAATGGTGCACATGGGCTGGCTCCAGTGTCCTGAGAGAACAAATGGCGTATGAATCAATCGTCTGTCACCGTCTACCATGGGACTGCATCTACTCACGATGCTCCACTGCCTTGTGGGTTAGACTTTCAGATCAAAGGCTTGGGTGTGGCCCCCTAAAAAACCACCTGCTTCAGTTTGGGCACCTAGACAGTATCACAGCCCTAACAAATGAAATGAGATTTGTGCGGCGAATATATATCTGGTGCTCCCTTGTATCAATATTTTTGTGTTTAAATAAATAAATATACCGGTAATAACCAATCATTGAGCATATTTTTGATCCAAACTATGCACCCTTCCTTTGTTTTATCTTATACACAGGAATAAACCTATGATCTTCATTTCTTTGGTGTACAAATCTTGGTGGGATGTTTTATAGTTTTCTTTTCCATGAATTCAACTCTATTCATCTAATAGAATCACTAAGCGTTTGAGTCCCCTTACACTGTTAATACTCAGTGACTATTAAGGTTAAGCTGACATTCATTAGATCACACAACTTCTTTCTGCTCCTGACCTATTCAATTAGAACACCAGAAAAGTCAGTCTATGATTTTCATTTCTTTGGTGTACAAAGCTTGATGAGATGTTTCATAGATTTTTCATATAGTACAAGTCTATATGTACTATTGATAACCGCCTTCTAATAACAAATAACATGATGATAGTGAGAAAATATCTGAAATCTATAATTAACGATTTTTGGTCCAAAGTGCAGTTTTACCACGCTAACTCAATACCCTAAATAGAACATAACACAGCTGGTAGATAACATCTAACTATACATTCCAAATATTTGTGGATCTTCTATGAAATAATACAGAGTAAATTCCTGACCACATATTAACATAATCAAGGAGTTACAACGTAAACATACTACGCCATAAGTGAAAAAGAACTAGGTAATAGTGTGGTGTGTGCTACCTATATCGACATAAGTAGTATATATCGTTAGTAAGGAATAGAATATCTGACAGCAGAAGATTGAGAACAACAGAAATAGAAAGCAATTGGTGTGGAAATCCAGGAACAATGAAGCCTGAGACGATTAATGAACATTTTGCAAATAGAGTATCAGAGTATGGTTTTTGTATTTTATCAAGCAACGTTGTAATTTGTGCTAAGCTCATAATTGGTAGTCCTCACCTGTGTTCTCATTCACTACAATAGATTATCAGTAATTTAAACAAAGTACACCATGTAACAACAATTTATGCTTCACAAACAGAAAAATAAAAAATACCATAACTCGAATATTTATTAATTAAACGACAAAAAAAATAATAACTCAAGATAGGACAAAATCACTTAGTATTGTTTGTTTGAATCTTCCCATTGATGTTTAGGACTGTAACTGGTCAGTCTCTTATTGGCATATGTGCATACTGTGTATATTGCCTCGAAATAGCCTTATTTCACAAGCATCGTAAGCAAAGATGGGTAGTGGTTAACAGTGGAATAGAAGACGCTCGTTTCGTCCTATTTGGGACTCGTCAGCTGGATGCACCTGCAAAACAATACTAAGTGAATTTAAACTTCACCCTATTGCACATGCAAGTGGCTATCAGGACTCAATAGGTGAGTGGATAACGCGATGGCGTTTGAAGCGAAAGGTACTGGGTTCGATCGCCAGAGTAAACATCAACTCTGAGATGCAGGTACATCCAGTTGACGAATCCGAAATAGGACGAAACGCGCGTCCTGGATTCCACTGCTAGCCACTATCCATCTTTGCTTCCAGATAGAACAGTTCTAAAGCTTCAACTTTGTTTCGTATTTATCCCTTCATAGAATTACCCATGTAATACTCTTCAAAGGTTTACTATTTATATCAGTTTTATTCTATATATAATTTTCTGAGTTGGTGTTTTCATATTTATACTCATTATTAATCCATTACATTTTTAAAAATTGCTGGTAAATCAGTTAATTTTTGTTTAAATCATTGCAAAATGTAGAAGTTGCCTTAATAAATCCACAAATATACCTTAAATTAATATAAAATTATTTTTTAGACACATAAATATTGGTACAAGGGGGCGCCAGATATATATGCGCCGCATGAATCTCATTTGATTTGTTTGAGGGTTGTTATACTTTCCAGGTGCCCAAACCGAAATAGGTGGTTTTCTTAGGGGGCCACACCCGGAGCCTTTGATCCAAAGGTCTGATCCACAGGGCAGTGGAGCATCGTAAGGAGATGTAGTCTCATGGTAGTCGGTGACCAACGATTGATTCATACGCCATTTGTTCTCTCAGGACACTGGAGCCAGCCCATGTGCACCATTGGTTTGGAATCAGGGTTTTCCAACTCTCCTAGGTGGACTTCCCATGTCCACCAACCCGGTTAGAGCGCCGGACATTCACTTTTCGTCCTCTCAATTTCGTTAACACACGTGGTACGAGAATGCAGTGAGTAGGACTTCTGTGGCATAGGCTATATACGTGTGGCCATGTGAGAGCATTTCGAGAGGGAGAGCTGACTCTCGGCCGTACCAGGGCCCGATTCATATTGATCTGTCTTCAGAAATTCCAAGTTTAAACGTCTCAAAGCAACAACTAATTTATCAGAGCCGTAAACAAAACTCTGTGTGAACAGTTAGCGGTTCAGCTTCAATGATTCATTAGTTTTGTTGAAGTTGCACTCTGTAAGCTTTGGGTGGTTCAAGTGTGACATCATCAAAATAAATCTCAGATACAACAGAACTATTCAGATCGATTAGAAAAATGAACAGCTATAAGATTAAAGTAAACTTGCAGACAATGACAAGACAAGTGTCAACAACCAATCAAATCTAAGGTTTATGGGGATAAACTAGTAGTCCCTAGTGGAGAAATTCGAATAGCTTACTTCTATTTCGAAATTTGTACTGATGTTGTTTGTAGGAGGATAGTGAAAAATTCGCAATGAAACTGTTCAGCCTAGAGAACCTATCACCACTATGATCATCCCTATGACCTACAAAACTGCTCATATTGTTCATTAAAATGCAATTTTAATATGTATAGTTTACAGTCGCGACATTGATGTGCGAACTTTTCTAACTTTCATTAGATTAAAACAATCCACCATGTATCAATATTCAAAAAATCTACATCGAATGGATTATGAGCAAATTTTTCAATTCGCACTTACTGACTATCCAAATCATATTAAAGGTTCAATTCCACGTCCACGTATGATATTGTAAGTGTGCATGTTTAAAAGTTGTTGTTTTTTGTTTGTCTTATTGTAACCAAAACCATATAGCATTCATAAATATGTAGTAGCAGTAGGTCTCAATATAAACAAAGGGAAAAGCAAGACTCCGATACAATACAACATGCATCAATCGAATTACACTTGACGGAGAAGCTTTGGAGGATGTAGAGAAACATTTACATATCTGGGCAGCATCATTGATGAACACGGTGGATCTGATGCAGATGTGAAGACTCCGATCGACAAAGCAAGAACAGCATATTTACAACTGAAGAACATCTGAAACTCAAAATAATTGTCAACCAACACCAAAATCAGAATTTTCAATACAAATGTCAAGACAGTTCAACTGTATGGGGCCAAGACGTGGAGAACTACGAAAGCCATCACCCAGAAGATACAAGTGTTTATTAACAGTTGTCTACGCAAGATACTTCGGATCAGTTGGCCAGACACTATCAGCAACAAGCTACTGTGGGGGAGGACAAACCAGATTCCAGCGGAGGAAGAAATCAGGAAGAAGCGCTGGAAGTAGGTAGAACACACATTGAGGAAGTCACTCAACTGCGTCACAAGACAAGCCCTCACATGGAATACTGAAGGCCAAAGGAGAAGAGGAAGATCAAAGAACACATTACGCCGAGAAATGGAGACAGACATGAGAAGAATGGACAAAAACTGGATAGAACTAGAAAGGAAGGCCCAGGACAGAGTGGGTTGTAGAATGCTGGTCGTTGGCCTATGCTCCATTGGTGGTAACAGGCGTAAGTAAGTAAGTAATATTTTTCAACAAAGCAAGAATAATAAGGAGTCATTTATTTTATGGAATTGTATCAACCATTCACAACCTAGAGAGACACTAACGATATTCATCGTTGACAATAATTTTTCAAAGAATTTTAAGAAAAATCATTCATATGGTTTTTGATTCATCAATTAATTATGTAAGGATTCTAGGGGGAGAAAATTGGAAAGATTTACAGCGTGTGTTGTTTCCTAACAGCCGAAACCTAGAAAATCTAATCTCTTAAAGTTTCCAAATTGAGTCAAATACGCTTCATCATTATGAGATTTGAGGATTATATAACACGTGGAAGTCGTTTTTCAAAGTTTTATTCATTTGTTGATAAACTCCGTTGTCGATAATAAGGTTAGTTAAAGTGAAGAGTAAAAATGTCGTTTTTAATAATAACTTATTCTGATTCTTTCTATCCAGAATTTCACAACTGGGAGTGACAATCTCAAGCTCTTATTATCTAACACATTACAAACTATTTTTCGCTTACTCATAACTATAGGGAATATTTTATCGAGTCTATTATAAGGTAGGATATCGTTCGTTTATTTTGATGGTAAGATGCAGTCGAATCACAATGCGTATACAGTTTCTGTCATCGGAATTTCTAAATGTATTTTCTCCTTGCTAAATATTATTTTAGTAAGGTACCTGCTATTGTTTTTTACGACCATTTTACTCATGAAAATAGTTGTGGTTCATATCCTAAATTAAGCATCAGTACTAATATGCAAGTACATCCAGCTAATGAGTCCCAAACGAGATGAAACGCGCATCTTAGATTTCACTACTAGCCACCATCTATCCACCCATATTTTGTTTATTTCAACTATTTGTTGCTCTTTACACAGTGTTGTAGTGTTTTTTTTTATAAAAAAACTAAATCGTATCTCTTCCAGTGATGAAATGGTCGATGCTCTTGTCGGATTTACTGTGGTAAGTGATATATTAAATGTCTTTATATATAATCTACCTGTCAATATCTAACAGTTCTCGTTATACCGGTTTATTTACTTAAACTCATAAACATTGGTACATGGAGGCACCAAATATATATTTGCTGCACAAATCTAATGATTAGTGTAAGGGTTGGAATACTACCGGGGTGCCCAAACCGAAGCAGGTGATTTTCTTAGTGGGCCGCTTCCTGAACCTTTGACCTAAAGGTCTTATCCACAAAGCAGAAGAGCAATGTAAGAAAACTCAGTTCCATGGTAGCCAGTAACCAACAATGGGTTCATGTGTTTTTTGTTTCCTTAGGATCGTGGAGCCCATGTGCACCATTGGTTCGAAATGAGGGTTTTCCAACTCCCCTAGGTGGATTTTCCGTCTCCACCGACCCGGTTAAAACGCCGGACGTTCGCTTTTCATCCCCTCAATTTCGTAAACAACACCACGTCACGAGAACGCAGTGAGTGGGACTTCCCTGGAAGTGGCTGTATACACGTGGCCATGTGAGAGCATTTGGAGAGGGAGAGCTGGATTTTCCCACCCTCTACTGTACCAGAGCATTCAGGGAGTTGAAAAGTATCGAAATTATTGTCAGCCTGTAATATACCACCTTAATTAACATAATTTATTAAACATCAGATTCTGCAGTAATTCAATGAACAGTTGAAACTTAGCAGGAACTAAGCACTGTGTATCAAAAGACCCGAAAATGAAGCTATACACTTTGATTTTCTTCCTATTAAATATATTGGTTATTACAGAGGATATCATTTTATTCAGTAGTCGATAGTCAAGTCTTGTGTTAATATATGGCAGTATATCTATTTTTACATCAACTAGCTATCTTCATTTTCGTACCTACCACAATTTTTTTTACTCGAATTGTAAATTATTTGTTTCGTATGTGCTCAAATTTATGTAGTTGATACTTAATTAGAATTAGTTTTAATTAGATCCTTGTTTGAGAGGTGACCAAGGACGTTATGCACGAATACACAAAAAAAACATATTATAAGAAGTTTTGTAATGCTAGATTACCGCTACACTTTTTTTCTTTTAGGACATTGCATTACCTTTTAATTTTGATCATTTGTTAGTTATAATCATTTTCCTCCATTACACTTCCAATCACAGACAAAGTACGACCTGGAACTTTTTTGTGCGTTTGCCTAAGTTAGCATTACTTTACATCAACACCGCGACAGAAAATTAAAACAAATCGTGAAAAATAATATCAAATGTAGTGAAGATTTTCTTCTTTTCTTCTTAACATACGTCATTAAGCGTTAGGTGGCAACCAAACATCCAAAAACGTATCTAAACCAAATAAGTTTGTAAGTGCTTATTCTTTGTGGGTCGACTCACCGTTTCTACGTAAAAGCTGCCAACTAACTTCAATATTTCTTGTCTCGCTGGCAAATGTATAACGCAAGAACAGCGCCTGGGAGACACTTGTGGTCAAATATTCGTAGCCTAAGCGTGTTTTACATTTCTATAGGTGATATTTCACTTGTACGATGATATAAAGCAAACGACTGTATAGTATACTCGCTTTTAATAGTAAGCAGCGTAACATTCCATCTGGGCTCCGAGGGCTGTGTACGTGGTAGTGAACCCAAGCTGTTGTATAGTTTTAAAGGCGTACTGTCTTCCCTAAAATCCGTCCTACAATAAGGATGTGTATCACAAGTATAAAGTACGAAAATACATTTAAAGATACCTCGATTTTCTCATTAGCAAAGTCCCGCATATGTGTTCCAAAGATAAACGATATAACAACACTGCTCGGACCTAAAGGTACAAAGTATTGAGACATCCTAGGTAACGTAAGTAGTATTAGAATGGATTGAATATATATGAAGTTTTATTTTCTCTATTATTTACCATGACATAGACGACTTATGTATCTACATTTTTATCCTATTACTTTCCATAGGACCTACAAAACGAATTCGGCAAGCCTCTCGTACTATTGCTTGGAGTTATTGCCTTGTTCACTGTTATGATTTTTGTTGGTTTAATACTAGTAGTAGGGTTTTGGTTCGCAGGATCTTTTGAAAATGATGATGAAAAAGAGCATGTACCGTTGACAACATCGCCTCATCAAACTGGTGATGACAAAAGATCAGAATCAGTTAAGAAAACGAAAAATGAATGATAAAATGTGCTTACTATTTCTTTTCATATACACTTAATCTGAAAAATTTCTTGTTGGACATTTTTACACTTATGCAATTTTTAAAGAAATCCTTATCAAAATTTGTCTCGTGTATTTCCTATGCTTTACTTTTTTGTCAAGATTGATTGAAATTCTATTTGTACTTTTTATTTGCTGTTGAATATAGTCATTCCTGTAAGAACATATCTGTTTTGCTTTCAGACTGCTAGAAATTTAAAAGATGTAAGCAACGTGGGTCGTATATATATATATATATATATATATATATATATATATATATATATATATATACTTAATAAGTGAGAAACAAACTATATGAAGATCACAATGGTAATAAGTCGCTTGGAGAAGGAAATTTATAGAAATGAGTGTGGAGGAAGAACAGAATAGAGGGCATCGAATAAAGTTTTTATGCTGCACAAGAAAATGGAGGACGAATGTATTGATCAATTACTAGGAAATTGTGTCACTTAATAACCACCAATCTGTATTTTAGCTTTTGATCTCAGATTTCACAACTGAATAATGATATTATTTCAACAAATATTGAGTGTCATTTTCAGGAAATAAAAACTCGTTATTTTAGTTTCATAAAATAAGTGGTAGAACTTCAAATTTGTTATCGTCCGTCGCTTCAATATTGTTTTTTGCCTGAATAATATTGAAAATTGTACATCTTAATTAAATCCTTTAGTTATGGCTAAATTTTAACAACCGATTCTTTCATACTCAAAACCTATTTTGAAGCCTTACTATCTTTACAATGCCACAAGTGGCTACAAGGAAAATGATATTTCGAGATCAATTATCTGACAATGTAACTCGATAGATGAAAGCTGGTTCAATAGCTGGAATTGGAATGGTGTATAGATGTGCATTAGTCACAGACTACTATAACAAGATAAGCCTTCACACTACCCACCACCACAAAATCTATAGTTTCGTCCCCTCAGCTGGATGGTTTGACCTACTACCTCAAAATTAAATACAGTTTCGGAAAAGCCTAACGATTGATGGGAAAACAAACAGGAAACATTGTTTTGAAGGTGTGAAAACGACAAGGCTTAAGATTGAAAGACGCACTAAAAAGTTCATGTATATGCACCACTGCAAGTGACTAATATTTTGTCACCTACAACCCTCAATCAGGAGTCTCAATACGGCTAAACCTAAAAGTCTATAATTTCAGGTACTGATAGCATATCTTGATCTGACTTCCAACACCATTCTTTCATTCTACTTGTATGTCGGCCAACATAAAGGCGTTGGATGGGTAGATCCTTACATAGCCCAACCACCTGTTGATGTTTATAAATTCACTCGGCCTAAATACCATCTGTATGTAAGACTTTTCTTAACATCATTGTTTTGTTATTAGTGGGCAATGTTTGAACGCCAACTGTGACCAGATATTATAAATTCGGCAGTTAACTATATTACTGTAGTACTTAATATTGTTTAAGGAAACTGCATAGTATGGAACCACTTTTCTAAACATATCTGCTGTTTACAAATAGTTGACTAAGAATAATTTAAAGACCTGAACAATTCAACTTGAAATGTCTTATGCCTCGAGGTTGGTCAATAAATTACCGATCCAATATTTTATGACTAGCTAGTATAAACTGACTGATTTCTTTGCACTTGTGTTTTGATGACAAAGTACGGCACAAATGATGTTAGTTGACTGTTCAGCTCTCCCATACCTTACAAACTGTACATCTAAATAAATAAGTCCGGTCGACAAGTGAGTAAATATTACTATAAATGTCTAGATAAAAATTTACAGCATCAGCAGTGAACCACCTTATATTCAGAAATACCATACGATCCTAAAAGTCCGCACTAACAAATTACTAAACCAACCTTACCATCTCTATTATCAAGTACCCACATATCTAATTAATAATAAGTATTTATGGAATATTTTGTTTGTATATTATTAGGAAGTGACCAAAACGATCTTCTTCTGCGTTTCTTCGAGCTTGTGCAAAACATCATCAGCTGGTAAAGTGGTTTGAACAGTGACAGTATTGTTCTCGACACTCGTCTCGACTTCCTTAATTGCATCTACATATAGGTTAAGGTGTCACTTCTACTTTGCTTACCTCCAAGAGTCATTAGAACTCTTTTGGCGGCCTTAGCACATCCCTCACAACTCATTTCCATGTTAAATGTATATGTCCTAATTTGTCCTTCCATAGTCTGTAATACCGCGTTTACTAATACATTTAACGAAATACTAAAACAAGCTTCAGTCAAAATGCTCTCATGTGATCAGAAGTCTTGATAATCACATACTTATTATAGTGGTAAACAATACGGTGATGCTATTCTGAACATTATATATTGAGTGAGAATAATCAGGTTGACGGCATTGTTCTAGTTTGGAAAGGGAAGAAGGCTAAGTGACCTATGTTAGTTCCGTCAGTGGTTGTCCCTCAGTTGAACCAAATTTCTTTTGAAAGTGTCGACATATGGAACTTCAGTCACGTGTTGAGATAATGAATTCCATTCGTCGATGATTCGATGGGAAAGTCTATAGTCACCTGACAAGTTATTTGTTCTAGGGTTGTGAAGGTTTTTAATGTACTCGTAAATTCTCCACTCTGGAAAAAATAAAGTGAGGGCATATCAGATGCAAATTGATCAGTAAGTAATCTGAAAACTGGGATCAATTGGTCTCTGGTTGCTTTATATGACAATGGAAATAGGTTTAGATCAGCCAGTCGAGCATCAAACTGGAGATTCGCTATTCCGGGAATCAGTTTAATTGATGTTCTTTGAACCCTTTCAAACAGTTCGTTGTCTCTTTTTGACAGAACGTAGCTGATTCTATGCAGTACTCGTGTTTAGGACGAACGCATTTTATATACAGAGTCAAAAGGTTTCAGCATGAACATAGCTAAATTCCCTACGTATCGACCATAGGGTACTGAAACACTCAGTGGCCATCGCAAAGCAGTATGCAGTAGATTTTAGGTCTTTGCTAAAAATCATCTAAATCATTGTGTGTCTGGACAACGGTTAGCTCACCGTTATTTACCGTGTATTTTTATATGCATCTTAATGCACTTGTAAGTATTTATCGGAGAATTCCACACTTGAGAGCATTCACATGATCTCTGAAGGTGATTTTGAAGCTCTTGATGATGCAACGGATATTCTAGTTTTACAACTAGATACCAGTAGCACCTTCTAAATTCGATTGTTCCCAGTCAGATAGAAATCAGAAGTCAGACGAGAAGAGGCAGGAAAGATAGATTTGATTCGTTACCAATATATCGAGGACCTTTTCTATGAGCTGGCTAATGAAACGTAGGAGCTGTGTCCCACGCCGAGTCGAAACGTGATCTGGTGCGGATGCATGACCGAAAGCCTTCAGCTAAACAAGTCCACTTAAACAACGTGGTCAGCATCCAATGTCGAACACTTAATGAGCTATTGATTTTGGGGAATTATTTACAGCTACAGATCACTCCCCCCCTAGTGAGGTAGTGATGCCCCTAAGACGTGACCAGCCAGAAGTTTAAACCCAACGAGTTTGTCGTTGGTAAACACTCTTCTGATAGCTTGCTTCGTTTAGCAGCGTCTGGTCGTCTTTCCTTAAACTATGGGACCAAAATGTACAACGTAGCAATAAAGAAATATAGTACAATGACAATTTCAGTTCCTTGCGAAACTTCGTCGTTCTTTTCCAGCCGTCCTGGGAAAGAGGAAAAATAAAACGTGTGAGTGCATGTCAAAAATACACTCGTACTTGTGTAAGGACACAAGATGAGCGGAAAAAATAAACTGATACACTTACAAACAGCGTAAAAGCGATCGGAAAAAAGGTTTTCTTTTTGGTTTTTTTTTCAATATATAAATATATATATATATATGCTCAAAAAAATGTTGTTTTCTTTGTTTTTTTACATAAATAAAAAAATGAGCATATTAAAAAAAATTTATAATAAACTTTGAAAGGGTAATTCAAGATAAAGCTTATGTCCTACGTGCAATATTCGTTAAGATGTTCTGGAAATCTGACTCGTCTTCCAGAACGCGTTGTTTTAGGTTTTTCTATCGACGTTGACGAAGTATCAAGTTGTGTGTCGGTTGTCGTGTAGGGTACTACGAGTGTAGTAGCTGTGTCGTTTGCTTGTACCGAAGGAAAATCGACGTAGCTAGGGTTTCCTTCTAGGTACGCAGCTTTGAGTCGATCGATACTGATGCTATCTTTCGTACCGTTCTTATCGACTACATAGTACTTAGGTTCGCGTTGAAGAACTTTGAAGGGTCCTTCGTATGCTGATTCGAGGGGTCGTCGATGTGAGTCTCGACGAACGAAGACGTGTGTACTATGTCGTAATTCGGGCTGAACGAAAACATTAGTTGATTGAGGTCGAGTGTGAGCAGGTTTAACTGAACGCATAGCGTTTGTAAGCCTACTCGTGTAAGAGTTTAGATCCATGTTCAATGAAGAAGCTGAAGGATCCACGAATTCTCCTGGGAGTCGGAGTGTCGTTCCGTAAACGAGTTGAGATGCCGTGTATCCAATGTCAGCTTTCACTGCATTGCGGATACCTAGCAAGACGAGTGGAAGAGCGTCTGTCCACTGTGAAACGTTTGAAGCTGATAATGAAGCTTTTAATTGTCGATGAAAACGTTCTACCAACCCGTTTGCTTGTGGGTGGTAGGCGGTCGTTCGGAAGCGCGTGATTCCTAAAAGTGTGGTCAGACAACGGAAAAGTCCAGATTCGAACTGGCGTCCGCGGTCTGTAGTGATGGTTGAAGGGCAGCCGAAACTTGCTACCCATCGTTCGACGAAAGCGCGGGCCACGGTTACTACGGATACTAATGGGCGCTTGACTGTCCTGATGAGCAAGCAAGGTTGCTTTAGCGATGTGTTCCTTAACTGTGGAAAATGCTTTACGGGCTATGTCGTCTAAACTAATTGATTTCGCATTTCCACGAAGCTGATCGGTTAACGGTTTGATAAGGGATGCACATTTAGGTATGAACCGTCTATAGAAACTTACGAGTCCGTTGAAAGTTCGTAACTGCTTGATCGTGGTCGGTTCTGGGTAATCCAAAATGGCCGCCACTTTGCTCCTAAGTGGTCGGATGCCTTGAGCATCAATAGTGTGTCCTAAGAAGTCTAAGCAGTTAGTTACGATTTGGCATTTCTGAATGTTGACAGTAAT